ACCATGGACAGACTTGCTGAGGAGAAAAAAAATGATAGGATTGCTTATCTTGGAAGAAATCAGGGTGTGCATTCAGAAAATATATTTTTCTGTTTGGGGAGTTTTAAATGTCTTTTTGAATATTTGTCAAACCAACCAAAATCTGGAGAGATAACCAATAAAATACAGCACGCTGAATATTATATTCTGCCCTGTTCATCATTTCACTGAGAAAGTTTCTGGAGGATCTGTTTAGATATTAAATTATGTTGAATAATTAGATGGCATCTGAAGAACCAGAAGATTTTGTATTCCCCCTCAAACTCAGACCATATGTTCTTTTCAGTGGGGAAAATGTAACCTCTTCCTTCCCTTACATAGGAACAGTGGCAGTGAGGTCTGTGTACAAGCACATGTATTTGGGTGGCAGGAACACAAATGCCCTAGCCTGCCTCCAGAAGCAGTGAATGCTCCAACACTGGAAGTTTTTAAGAAGAGACTGGACAGCCATTTGTCTGAAATGGTATAGGGTTTCCTGCCTGAGCAGGGGGTTGGACTAGATGACCTCCAAGGTACCTTCCAACTTTATTGTTGTTGTTATTATTATTATTATTATTATTAGTAGTAGTAGTAGTAGTAGTAGTAGTAGTAGTAGTAGTATCATCACTTTCTTGGCAGGCACAAGTTCCCATGCTGAAACCTTGGTTAAAAGCATCTTGTATGGAAGATGGGAAGTTCTGCCTCTCTAAATGGCTGAGCAATCTCTGCCAGTCAGAACAAGCAGTTCTGGACAAGATAAACTCATGGTTAGATTGCAATGAAATGGTTTCATGTGCAAGCACATGGTAACATACTGTTGCAGGAATCTTATTGGCTAATACTAGATGCAGGCTTTTTTTTTTTTAAAAGAAAGCAATCAGTTTGCTTCAGACCTTGTGTTAAAGATGTGGGGAAAGTGTAAGGGGGCATCTACATGTAACATCATGGTTAGAAGTAGATGTTTGTTCCGTGTTTTCTGTTGGCTTAGCACATTACAGTGGTACCTTGGTACTCAACTGCTTTGAAACTCATCAAATTTGGTACTCAGTGCATTTTATCCTGGTACTCATCGTTTGTTTGATACTCAATGCACAAGCTAGAACTTGTCAGTGTTGGTTGCCTTGTGACTCACTACATTATTCCTTACAGGAAAAAACTGTTTGTACTTATTGTGCCTCTCGGGATATTAAGGATATTTATATGAATAAATACATTCTAATTAGTAAATCACAATTTATGGCTTGCAGTGTTTGTCAGCCTTGGCTACTTTATGATATGTGGACTTCAGTTCTGGCAAATTTGAAGTCCACATCTCTTAAAGTTGCTCAGGTTGAGAAACATTGGCTTAGTATTTTCAGAGAAGCAAAGCCCTTGTGGATTATTTAATACACCATGGTGTTAAAAAAAAATCTTGGGTTACTGGGCTGCTTCAATTGGCTGCTGAAAGAAGGGAGGGCATGGAGTTGTTTGTGGAAGCCACAGCGCTTCTCACTGCCCTTCCTTGGCTCCTGAATAATCCCCCCATCCATCAGCTTAGCTTACCAAGTCACAGGCCTCCTAATGGGCAAGCAAGACCAATCATGTTGCCTTTTATTGCCATTCACTTATAGCCACCTGTGAATTGACTGACACCAAGTTCCACACTTTCTTTTCATTGTGCGAGATCTTCGGCTTTTTAACAGGTACCAATCCAAGTTAAGGCAAGTCCCTGTAGGCATTGGTGTTTGACATTTTGTCTGTTCTGCAGTTATGAAAGCTGCCAAACCCAGCCAAAGACAACCACCTTTCTAAATTATAACTTTAGCAGCTTAGAAATAATGATTTGTTCAATGAAAAGAACTAAATAGAAAGCAAGGCCAGCTGTGGCAGGAGCAGGTTTTTTTACTGTCTGGAGTGGACATTGCTAGCTTGGAAAGGGCCTGTGGGTGGAGGGCAAAGCTCTTCCCTCCCCCATTGAGGTCAGGCTCCAGCAGGGGCCTCTTTGCAAAAGGATCCTGCCCCTGATTCAGTTTAACTCTTTGCCAGCTGAAACCCCTGCTCTGGTGCAGGAGAAAATTAAGCACAGTACACTTATTGGTCAGGGGGGGAAATTGTCTGCACGTTTACTCATATTCTGGTTAGCACGAAACAAAAAAGATGTTGAGACACTGGAATATGTGCAAAGAAGAGCAACAAAATTGATAAAGGGTCTGGAGGCTAAATTGCATTTGAATGCTTTGAGGGACCTAGGTATGTCTAGTCCAGGGGTAGGCAACCTTGGCTCTTTTATGACTTGTGAACTTCAACTCCCAGAATTCCTGAGCCAGCTATACTATGCTGGCTCAGGAATTCTGGGAGTTGAAGTCCACAAGTCATAAAAGAGCCAAGGTTGCCTACCCCTGGTCTAGTCTATGGAAGAGAAGGATTAGGGGGGGACATGTCTTCCAGTACTTGAAGGGCTATCACAAAGAAGAGGGGATTGTCTTATTCTCACCTAGGGCACCTGAGGGTAGGACAAAAAGTAATGGGTAGAAGCTTGTCAAAGAGAGATACTAGAAACTAGAAGTAAGGAGAAATTTTCTGACAGAGCAATTAATCAGCAGAATAGCTAGCCTCATCCTGGTTTACTCAACCCACTGGTTTGTACAACAGACTACCATAAATAGACTGCACATAGTGAGTTCAGTGTAAATGGCTTTTTGGCAGGTCATGCACTGTGTTCACAAGACATCCTGAATCTCACACTGAATCATAAATGAACCTTATGGGCTGACTTGCATGGCACAGATTAACTAGTTTGTGGCTTAAATAGTATATAGAAAGTGTGCTACAAATTAGCTAACCACATTTTAATCCAGTGTTTCTCAAACATAATAGCAAAAGAGCCGATTTGGTTTAGTAGCAGGGGTAGGCAACCTTGGCTCTTTTATGACTCGTGGACTTCAACTCCCAGAATTCCTGAGCCAGCATAGCTGGCTCAGGAATTCTGGGAATTGAAGTCCACGAATCATAAAAGAGCCAAGGTTGCCTACCCCTAGTGGTTAAGGCACCAGGCTAGAAACCAGAAGGCTGTGAGTTCTAAATCTGCCTTAGGCATGAAAACTAACTGTGTGACTTAGGGCTGCTCATTCTCATACAGCCCAATTCACCACACTGGGGGAAAATAGGAAGGAGTATTAGCTATTTTCACCACCTTGACTTATCTATAAAAAATAAAGGTGGGATAAAATATTTTTTTTAAAAACCATTTAAGACACGTGGACAGCTGGGGAATTCTAAGATTTAAGTCCACATGTCTTAAAGTTGCCAAGTTTGTGTTTAGCAATGAAAGCAAAATCAACCCTTGAACGTTGGGATAACTTTGTGCACCATGATTTAACTAGGAGAAAACATCGTATGAATTTAACCTCACGTATTGCAGGGCAGCAATGTAACTTCGGGGAGGAGGGGGGGGTAAACCAAGAGTCCACAAGGAGGGTCCGGAAATAGCAGCCTCGGTGGTACATTGTTCAATTATGATTATTCTTGTATTATTCACACTATTCGTGGGTACGTTCAGAAACACGCAGGAGCATCCAAACACGACAACATGCAAGGAATCAAGCCTGCTACAACTCCGGGCAAAACTTAACCCTCTGCTAAATTTTTCCGTGCGATCCCTGGATCTTGGAGCAATTAAATTAATTAATTCGCGCGGGAACGGAAGAAGTTCGCACTGCGTCCTATCCCCTCCCCCTGCCTTAACAGGTGTCCGAGACTTTAAAAGCTGAGCACCGTTCCAGCAAGGCGGCTCTCTAGCTTCGTCGGAGAACCTCTTAAAAAAAAAAAGAAAGAAAGAAAAAGGAAGGCGGCCACAAAGATGTGTTTTGTATCGCCGCTGATCTACGTTGGGTCGGAGAAAGTGGAAGCCTTTACGCAAACGCAGCGGCTGCGAAGGAGCCAAGAGAACGAAGGACGTCGGCGAAGGAGACGCGGTTGCTGCGCGGCTCCAATTTACTTGCTGCACGGAAGGCCGCCCAGGAAGAGGTTAACGCATCTTGGCGCGTCAGAGGCCGGAGAGGGGGAGGGGGTGGCGGCGGATGGGGGGGGGAGAGCGTCACTAGTGACGTCAGAGCCCGGCACTGAAGTGGGGGCGGTGGAGCGCGCGCCGCCCAACAGATGTGTTTTGCAGGCTGGCTGGCGCGCTTAAAGAGGAGGGCGTAAGCGAGGGAGGCAGGGGGCTGGCTGGACCTCGCTTTGGAAGATGTAGCAAGTTTCCGTTATCTTTTCTTTGCCCACCCCTCCAATTCCCATAACCCGATAAGCCGGGAATCGGCAATAGTTAATTTATTCATTTATTTATTCATTCTCTCCTGCGGGGCTGGGTTGCAGTCCGGGACGTGAGTGGCAGACTGCAAAGGTTCTTGCCGCAGTGCATTTTTCACCATTTTCAAAGGGCCCCCTCGAGACCCGCTGTTGTTTTGGCTGCAAGCGAATTTAAAATAACGCAGCTGCAGCCTCCTCTCCGGAAATTGCCCTTTTCGGCTTTGGAAGCGGGCCTGCATTTTTCCTGTTTGACTTAAGGGTGGTGGCGGAGGCTTCCTGCAAGTCGGCCGGCGTTCTTTAGGCGTTTGCACGACAATTCTGGGCAAGAAACGACGCAACCATGTATCAGTCTTCCGTGTTTTGCAGGCTCAACCCACGCAGCCGTTTTATAATTTAGGAGTAGCGCAGACGTAAGAAAAAGGTCTCCTTGTTTCTGTAGCGGCCATCATGCTGTGGGCCGTCCGCCCTTTGGAGCATCATCTCCCTGAGGTCAGATTGGCACCAACTTTATTGGCCTTCGGGAAGGAGTTTTGCCATCTGGCCTGGGGATCCAGCTGTATGATGTGGAGCAGGGGTCCTCAAACTTGGCCATTTTAAGACTTGTGGACTTCAACTCCCAGAGTTCCCCAGCTAGCATGACTGGCTGGGGGAATTCTGGGAGTTGAAATCCACAAGTCTTAAAGTGGCCAAGTTTGAGGACCCCTGGTGTGGAGTCTGCAAAATGACTACAGGTAGTCTTTGATTTACAACAGTTCATTTAGTGACTGTTCAAAGTTACAGTGGCACTGAAAAAGTGAGTTATCACCATTTGTCCGCAACCATTGCAACATCGCCATGGTCACCGGATCAAAAATTCAGGCACTTGGCAACAGACTCATGTTTATGTGATTACCTTTTGTGGCCTGATAAAGCAAAGTCAGTGGGGAAGCTAGGTTCACTTAACATCCCTGTTGCTAGTTTAAGAACTGCAATGATTCATTTAACTGTGGCAAGAAAGGTAAAATGGGGCAAAATTCACTTCACAAATGTTTCACTTAGCAACAGAATTTTTTGTCATGGGTCAAGGACTACCTGTATTTTATTAATAAAGACTGATTATACAGCCCCGCAGTTTGTTTATTGGTTTGGGTTTTTTATGATTTTTGATTAATTTGTATTGGTTTTTGTGTGCCTGTAAGCCACCATCATATATGTGAGATGGCTGGCTATCTGGGGACAAGTATGGTGTAAATTTTTTTTTCAGATACTTCAGGTACTTTTAGCAGTGTGTCAGTGTTCCTCATCAGGAGAATGTTAAGTATCTACTGAAGAATTTCAAAGACCAAAGTGAAACAGGATTCCTTTGAAAAGGCAGATAACTTTCCAAATCTTACAAAAGAGGTGCTGTGGTTCCCTGAGGGAGAGCTTTGCTTCTTGCACCTCCGTGCAAAAAAAAGATTGAATTGCTAAATTTCTTAAAAACTAGAACTGAAGCAGGTTAATAATAGTTCAGTTCCAAAGCTAGATGTGAATAGAGAGGCCTCAAGGCATGCTGCTGTTCCCAGTTCAGAGGTAGGTAACCTGAAAACCCCAAACTACACAAAGAATCCTGCAAAACAAAAAAACCTTGAAAATTGCAGGCAGGATTTCTGATAATTTTGAGGAAGGAAAAACACAGAAATGAGCATAAGTCCTAAACGAGACCTAGTACTGCCAGCTGAAGCACTTTTTCTTTGCTGAACTCGCCCAGCTGCTTAGCTTTGCACTAGTGAACTAAAAACAAAGAGGTCTGGCATAATGCAGACTGGTGTTTATGATAAACATGTCCAGAGTTTAACTTATCTGTGCTTTAAAGTATTAAATCACTTTGCATGACATACTGAGTCATAAGCTAAGCACATGGGCTGCCTCATGCAACATGCAAATGAATGTTACACCAGCCATGTAGCTCAGTGTGTCTTCTGGAGATCTAACCTGCCTAAATGTTATATGTACAGTCACAGACACACAGTGCTGTTGCTTTTTCTCCAGAAGAGGCCATATGGATGCTGCTGAGCTGCTGCTCTGAATCCCTGCTAGCCGGCAGGCGTGTTGCTGTGGGAAAAAGGTGGATGTGAGATCATATCGCAGCAGGCAGGCTAACTGGCGGGTGGGCGGCTTCAGCAGCTGGCTTTAATCCGAGGCAGCACACACCCAGAGTTAAAGCATGGAAAATCTATGGCGCCTGCTTGCTTTCCAAGGGAGATGATGGAAAACAGGCAGATGCCTGAGAAACAAGGCACCAGCTAACAGCACTTTGTTTCACAGCTCCCTGGAGAACACATCAGTTGTGAATTCAGCAAGACTAGCATTGGGGAGTTGTTGAAAGAATATTTCCTCTGCTTATTTCTAGGAGAAATTCTAAGGAATGGTGGAATTCTTATGTCTCGAGTTCCCAAATCATTGCTATTTAATTAGACTCCAGGAGAGCAGTGACATCTGGTGAAGCTGTATTGTTATCAGGAATACTACTGACTTCTCATCTCGGAATTGCTACAAGAGGAACAAGGACCCCGAATACAAAATGACTGGCTGGATTTGGGCATGGAGCAAAGCCATAAAGTGATTTTGTTTGATTTTTAATTAACTATTTTGATGTACAATATATGGCCACCCTTCTCCGATACATCACTCCGAGCAGCTAACAGTAAAAATATATAGCATATAAAGTGCACATAGTCTTTGACTTACAGCCATTTGTTCAGCAACTGTTTGAAGTTACCACTGCGCTGAAAAAAATGATCAGTCCTCACATTATGACCATCGCAGTATGCCCCCATAATCAAAATTCAGATATTTGGCAGCTGGCATATATTTATGACAGTTACAGGATCCCAGACAGCTTCCGACAAAGTCAATGGAGAAAGGTGGATTCACTTAGCTGACTCACTTAATGACTGCAGTGATTCACTTCACAATCATGGCAAAAAAAGGGTCAAAAATGTAACATGACTTACTTAACAACCACTTTGCTTTATCAATGGAAACTTTGGTGCCAATTGTAGTCATAAGTCGAGCACTAATTCTAATCCTTAAAATGCAGCGGGTGAGCCCTTCTACAGTATAAAATCCCTGAAGTTCGGAGAAGAACCTTGGAGTTTTGTGATCCACAAGTTCCATCATCTCCATAGTCTTCCCATCATGTAGTTTTGGACCTGTGACTGAACTACAATTCCCAGCAGCATCAATCAATGTAAGTCATGGAGGATATAGAAATTTGTAATGCAGCCACATATAGTTGTCCTCAGGATTTCCAACCTTGCCTTTGTTTCTCAACCTTGGCAACTTTAAGATATGTGGACTTCAACTCCCAGGATTCTCCAGCCAGCAGAGTTGAAGTGCACAAACCTTAAAAGTTGCCAAGGTTTAGAAACATTACATTAGAGCAGGGGTAGTCAATCTTGGCTCAGGAATTCTGAGAGTTGAAGTCCACGAGTCATAAAAGAGCCAAGGTTGACTACCCCTGCATTAGAGGAACAACAGGTTTAAAATGCTAATAAATAAAAAAGTAATATACTACTGGGTGGTATTTATTTATATGCTGGTGCTGGATATGATCTGTGTTGAGCAACCATGAAAACTGACAGAAAAGTGTTAGGCAATAATTGTATTTTTTTATTTGTCCCTTACTTGTGAAAACATTCTTAGGAAAAGAATCCTGTAAGCAATCCAGGCATGGGGATACTGTGGTGTGCCAGATGTTATCTCAGCAGCCCTAATGAAGATGAGAAATGGTAAGGGATTCTCAAAATTGTAGCTCAACATCTGGACAAAACATTTTCTCTCCAGAATTGGAATGGACAAAGTAGGGCTCAGATTTTATTCCATTCATTTCACATACCAATCAGAGATAAGAATTTCATTTTAAAAAAGATGTTGAGACTCTAGAAATAGTGCAGAGAAGAGCAACAAATGTGATCAGAGGACTGTTGCTGGAATTGGGTATTCTAGTTTAATGAAGAGAAGGACTAGGAGTGACATGATGTGTTCTAATATTTCAGGGGTTGCCACAAAGAAGAGGGAGTCAAGCTATTCTCCAAAGCATCTGAAGGCAGGACAAGAAGCAATGGATGGAAACTAATCAAAGAGAGAAACAACTTATAACTAAGAAGAAATTTCCTGACAGAACAATTAATCAATGGAACAAGTGCCTCCAGAAGTTGTGAATGCTCCAACACTGGAAGTTTTTAAGAGATTGGACAACCATTTGTCTGAAATGGTATAGGGTTTCCTGCCTGAGCAGGGGTTGGACTAGAAGACTACCAAGGTCCCTTATTATTCTGTTATTGTTTATCTTAGGTACACATTATATGCATCCTGCTTACTGCAGTTTGTTGAATAAGCCACAACTAATTCATATAGTAAACCATAAACCATAGTTTATAAAGTCTTGGTGATATGTAAGGGCAGTCACGGTATGGGATAGATTTAGTCCATGTTGATGGATTCGATCAGTGTTTTTCAGTCTGAAAAGCTTAAGATGGGATTTCAACTGCTAGCCAGGGAATTCTGGGAGTTGAAGTCCATCCATTTTAAATTGTTGAGGTTGAGAAGCAACTGAGTCAGCAGTCCCTTTCAACATATGATCCCAGGGTAGATATGTCAGATTTTATTTGAAAGAGTGCATGGAAAAATTAAAATATACTTGTAAGAGGTGGGTCATAATTATTATAATTTACAGAGAGAAGCCTGAATAAAAGATGGCCATAATCTCCAACAGGTTGCCAGATTATCAAATTCTTGGTTGGGACACATTATCTCTAAAAACCTGCAGATCTTCTTTGCTCCAAAAAGACACAAATCTTTCTCCCCATGTTTCCATTCCAAAGGGGCGGAGGAGGTGAGGAAATGGGGAAGATAAATAGATCCAACACAGTTCTATGCCATTTGGAGTATTTTTCCACATATAGAGAATAAGGAGTTACAGACACAGTCAAGACTGGCCCATTTAAGGCAAGGAAGTCCTAAGTCCTAAATGAAGCCTTCCCAGGCTCCACCCTTGTTCTGAGGAAAATACCAGCTAGCCCATAATTAATGAGCTAAGACAGGTTTTGTGGCTGGACAGACAGGTTCAGACTTTCCATGTGATGCAAAACAGTCCCTTACCCCACGCCCTCCACAAAATATACCTGTACTCGTGTTTAGCTAGCAAAAAGAAGATACTGTACCACTTCCTTGCCTTCCCAACCTAGAAATGTCCCATTTGTGAGTCTTGTACTAATGGTGTGGCTATTTATACACACTTAGCTGGACCTTACAGAAAACTTGAACAGTTTAAAGCAGTGGTTCTCAACCTGTGGGTCAGGACCCCATTTGGGGTCGAATGACCATTTCACGGGGGTCGCCAAACAACGCAGTCTGCCATTTTTTTCCCTCTTTTCCTTAGCTGTGCTACTCCCTTTTATTCTATTGGCTTTTGAAAGCCAATAGAATAGACTCTCTTGAATAGAGTCTAATTCTATTGGCTTTCAAAAACCAATAGGAATTGTCCAGGCTGTCTCTGCCCTGCTGAGCCCACCAAAAGTCCCATTCTGCAAACGGTGCTGCACCAATTGAGTAGTCCTCGACTTACGACCGGTTGAGTAGTCCTCGACTTATGACCGGTTGGGGGTCACGGCATTAAAAAGGTTTGAGAACCACTGGTTTAAAGCAATCTCTAAAATTTCTATATTGCTTGTCAACATTACCAGCTTTCCCATACCTTCCTTTGCCCATGTGGTCTCCTGTTCGTTTTATTCTTGAATAGGACTGGTTAGCCTCCTACAGTGATCTCATACTATTATACATCTCTTGTGCTTTTCATCCCTTATCAGATTTATTTTTGTTTGGTAAAGAAAAAAAAAGATTAAAGGGAAGGAACACGGGGGAGTTAGAAACGGAAAACGAGGCTGTTGGAACTCTGCAAAAGTTTCGTGAATATGCAGTATGAATATATATCAAAACTTTGATCAAGAAGCATTTGTTATCTTTCAGAGTTTACATGTTTGTGATCCTTCTGCATTGTTAATCATAGGTTGGCGAGCTTTGTGGAAAGACAATGCTAAGGTAGCTTGAACCAGAGGCCACCATTAAAATTGTGTGACTTGTGGTGCACACCCATAGCTTGTCTTAGAGGTTTTGGGAGGATCCCAATTGCTGTTGCAGAAGCATGAGCCTCCTTTTAATGTGGGATACCACCCCCATTAAGGTATTCAGATTCCAAATGGATGTGCATGTTCCAGCCCGATGCACTGTATCCCTGCACACGTTTTCCAGGAGCCCCTCTCAATGGCAGATTCTCTCCCAGTCTGGGGCCTCACTTTGCACATGTTGCACCAACCCCCTCCCTCTCTCCCTCCCAGTGGAGGTGGTTAAGAAAGAAACAGCTTCCAGGGCCTTTAATCTGTTGCAGGCCTCTCTCCTGGATCGCTGCCAGAGATGAGAGCAGCCCTGCTGGGAGAGAGAGAAAGCCAGCCCCGCTTCAGTCAGAATTCTAGTTTAAATTGCACAGGCACCTGGTAATTAAAACACAGTCGTTTCCAGCTCAAGCCCCCTCCCCCCCTTTCAAAAATCTTGGCCATTGGTGGTGGTGGTGGTGGTGTCTAAGGCAACCAGATTCTGTTGAAGCCTTAGGGACATCTTGGGATCAAATATTGCCATGAGCTGGGATGGTTTGGGGATTCAGAATTTTGTAGAGGGCTTTTTATACATACACGGATACAAAGTTCTAGCATATTATCCCAATACAATACAGGTGGGTGCTCAATTTATAACCATTCGCTTAGTGAGTGGCAGTCAGATGGCAGTCAAAAAGGGAACTTACAACCAGTCCTCGCACTTATGACCATTGCCACATCCTCACAATCACATGATAAAAATGTGGCAACCAGCGTGTATTTATGTTGACCGCAGCTTCCCCCAAGGGTCATTTGTGACCTTCCCAGCTAGCTTCTAACAGGCAATGTTCATTGGGGAAGTCAGACTTGCTTAATGACTGCAGTGATTCACCTAACAAGCATGGCAAAAAAGTTCATTCTGCTCTTATTGGTATTATTATTATTATTCTGTTGCTTTGCAGCTTCTGCACCAGAGACAAATTCCTTGTGCGTCTAATCACACTTGGCCAAATAAAGTATTTGATTCATAAAATCAGGCATAATTCACTTAACATCCTCCTTGTTTAGCAATTGAAATTCTGATCCCAATTGTCCGTCCTAACTCAAGGACTTATCTGTACAGCGGTTTGTAATTTTGAACTTTAATACATGCAAAATAAATCTGGGTAATTAAGCCCATGATGAATATTTTTATTTGTAAAATGTATTTTCAAAAAGTTACCAAAAGGTAGCAAGTACTTCCAATTCACAATCAATGTTGTGTCCTTCTTAAAAAGTTTCTTGTTGGGCCATCAGAGCAAAATCCCATATGCTTTTCTTATTGTATTTATGGATGTTGGATTGCTGCAATGTGATAACACAAATAAAATATGCAACATTTTAAAGTCTGGTTCAAAACTGATTAATACCGTAGTAAGGTTAAAAACAAGAGCAAATGAATTAGGTAATCAGTTCTTACAAATTCTCTGGGACAGAAAGCATGGGAGCTAGAAACTTAGGTAATAGATTAAATATCTGCACTGCTTACTTACTTACTTACTTATTTATGAGACTTATATACCGCTTTAAGTGCAAGCACTCTCTAAGTGGTGTACACCAGTAAGCAATGTATATATATATTTACATTGTCCCCAACAATCTGGGTCCTCATTTTACCTACCTCGGAAGGATGGAAGGCTGAGTCAACCTTGAGCCGGTGAGATTTGAACCGCTGACCTGCTGAACACAGTCAGCTAAAGTGGCCTGCAGTGGCCTGCAGTACTGCACTCTAACTGCTGCGCCACCTCGGCTCTCTAAGACCTTTAAACAGCACCTGACAGCATATATCTGGGCCACACCCACTGCACTTTGGAATTAAAAGGGCCATTTAAAAATGCTGCTTTTAAATTACAGCCACTAGGCTGTTAGTAGGACAATATTGGAAGAAGGAATCTTTGCCTACATTGCAGGAATGGTTTCTTAAAGTAGCTTATCTGGCGGAAATGGCAAAGATTTCGGCTTTCTTAAAGCAACAAACGCAAGAGAAGTTCTTTGCTGTTTGGGACAAATGGATAAAATTTATACAATTTAGATTGGGTATACAAAAATATCACATAGCTTTTTTATAAGTTTTATTTTTATATATATATATAGATATTTTTTATATATATATATATAAATATAAATTTTTTAATTTAATTTTTTATTTTTATTTCTTAATTTTTAATTAAGCCTATATTGTGCTCTGGGAAGCTCAGGGGGGGGGAAGGGAGGGTTTTTGTGAGGGGTGGGGGATGGGGTTTTTTTTTTTATATATGTAATGTTTAGTTTCTTTTTTGTATATGTTGTCTTTTGTTTTGTATTGTTTTTGTCTTTTTGTAAAATTTATAAAACTTTCAATAAAAAAAAATAAAAAAAGAAAAAAAAGAAAAAAAAATATAAAGAAAAAAAAAAGAAAAAAAACAAAAAAAAAAGAAAAAAAATTTTGGTGCGGGGAGTTGCGAAGAAAAACAACAGTTCAGAAAATCATGTTTCCACGTTTCTCTTTCAAATGATTTTCACATCATCCTTCAAAATTTTCTAGAGCAGTTTAACTAAAGCTCTACTGTACTGTATTTCCCATTCATTGTTCCAGTAATATGCTGATGTGAATCAAGCTCCAAAGGCAAACCTATGAACTTAAGGGTTTTTTTTTTTTTTGGTTTTGTTTTGTCTCAAAGCCAAAGGATGCCATGCCATATACGCCATTGCCTTTCAAACTTCAGCGTCCCTCCAGTTCAGTACCAGCCCTAAAAGTTATTGGAGCCTTGTACTCAGTTGACATTTAGCCAACTATGGCACTATACTTAGAACCGGGTATAAAAGAGCTGGGTGTGCTCTTAGTCATCCCTTTGATTTAAGATGCACACATTCAAGGTTAAGAGCACAACATGGATGGACTTACATGGGAAGACTGCTCAAGAAATGCAGCACGTAGAGG